GAGTCAGAAGGCCAGAGGACCTTTAGACATCGCAGGCCCAGAGAGATGAAGTGCTTTGCCCGAAGTCACAGAGTTAATTAGTGGCAGAGCCAGGATTAAACTCAGTTCTCTTGCTTCCCAACCAGGTGAAGTTTCCTATAAAGCCTGGTGATGGTGATGGTGGTGGCAAAGACAACACCAACAGTGGCTGATGACAATAATTTTGTTAGTCTGCTCAGAGGCTTAGTTCAGCTTCATCTGGGGCAAGGGTACCTGGTTTGCTGCTGCTAAACTGACTAGAAATGTTTTCTTTCTCCTGACAATAGGGGCATAGCCTCCAAAGAAGCCATGTGTGGAAGGGGAGTAGAAGAGGAGGGAGGACCTTTGGTTAGGCAGATCCTGAGGTAGTGTGCTCTGGGGTGGGCATCACAACCTCTAGCATCTACCTTTTTCTGAGGGTGTCAGCAGGATAGAATCTATCAGATAATAATCATTTCTCTCTTGGGTCTGTTACACGCACTTTTTGTTCTTTTCCAAATGTGAGGAGGTGGGGTAGAGGGGAGTAACTATGCCCAGAGAAGCCCCCTCTGGGCCCTGGAGACTGTCTAGTAGTTTGGTTTGTAGAGGTCATCCATTATTTGGAATTGGGGTATCCTCTTTAGGGCTATATGAGTGACCTTTTCAATTCTATTCTTTATCAAGGACCTGGCTTCTACTTCACCCCCTAGAAACAAAGTCTTGGAAAAGGCACTGGAGTCCTCAACCCCATGCACACCTAATCTCAGGGGACAGTCTTATTTAGCTATATGGCTGCTCTATGCTCTGTGGTGTTAGCTTCATTCCCAAGGAAGAAAGGGGAAAAAGACCTTCCCTTATCATTAGCCCTCATCAGGCTCTTAGATGATCATTCCAGGGAACTGTGGAAAGTGTTTGGACCCACCTCAGGGGTCTTGCTTGGAGTGCTGGCCTGGCTCATGGTATAGTTCCTCATAGTTCTGACAACTGATCCAAAGGGCTGGGGAAGGAAGCAGGAGGTCATTAGGACCCAGAAGCCTTCTATGCTTCCTCCACTGCCTGCTGCCTCTCACCCTTCACTGCAGTGGTTCTGAGCTTCAGCAGGCATAGAGGAGCATCAGCTGAGTGGGGCTGGTACCAGGGAACCGGAAAGCTTCTTGGGAAAGGTAGGAGGCGATGACTAGGCCAGGACCCAGGGCCAAACCTGGGGCCTGGGAATGGACACTGAGGTACTCTGGAGATGGGCATCTTTGTACCTGAGTGTCCTGTGGTGGTATTTCATTTCTAAGGGATGGGTACCCAGGTATCCCAAAGATGGATATTTTATATATAGGGCACTTCCATAGCTTGTCAGTTGGCAAATCTTTCCTAGTGATAAGACATATGCATCCGAGGGATGAAATTCTGGTTTCTTTCTAGCAGAAATCTGTTTATTCTGCAGTAAGATCTTCCTATATGCCAGAAATTAATCTGTCTGTATCCTAGAGTGGGCCCTTTAGAAGCCTGATTGAATGGGCAACTCTGTTTGGGCATAGCTGCCTCTGTCCCAGGAATAGAAATCTCTCCCTTGGAGAGACCACAGGCAACTCTCCAGCCTAGGGGTAGGCACCACTAGAGTCCTTGAGATAAACATCTTCAACCTGGAAACAGGTATATAGATATATAGAGATATATATATAGATATATAGGCATATAAATGCCAATGGCACATTTGTATTATGGAGCTGAGTATACTTGTATCTCAGCAATATGCACGTCTATATTCTTAGGACAAACACAACTGTAGGGTAACCAGGAACTTGGGGAAAGGCTCAGGTCCTATTCCCTAAGGTGGCAGCTGTCTCCAGAGGCTCAAGAGTCCACATATCTGCAGGGAGGGGGATGGGAGAAGCCAAGGGAAAACATGGATGGTCAGAACTCTACAAGACATTGTGGGAGCAAGGTTCCCTATAGTTCACTTTATTAAACCTTTAAGTCATGGTCATTCCCTTTACTACCATAGTCCATCAGGGAACCACTCTGTACTCAGAAGAAAGAAGTAAAAGGAAGGTGCAGAAAACCAAGGGGTGTCTCTTGGTTCACTGTGAATGTGAATAGGAATCATTGAGACTTAGAAGTCAGTGCAATGCTGATGAGAACAGTGAAAGAAAGAGATATGCATGAGTGAGGCCTCTCAGGCTATCTTTTGAGCTCTCCTCATTGCCTGTTCCCTTTATCATTGCTATTACAAGACTTCTGGGGATCGTTGTCTGCTCCCCCTTAGCCTGAACCCTGCTGCACTAGAGTAGCCAACTCTCTGGCTGGGGCCTTAACATTCCAAGGGTATTTGTTCAAACAGGGTCATGTGTATTATCAAGTTGAATAATGTTGGTGGTAACAGCTATCAGGATGGTTGCTGCCAATTCTACTGTGCCTCAACTCCCAATTCTAAGTGGTTATGTATGCTGACTAGTATGAAGGGCCCAAAATACCCAACCTTTTCCCCTATCCTGTGCTTCTCATTAAGCCACTGTGATTAGTTTGTTTTAGGTTAGGGGGCTGGCCTACCCACCATACTTCCCTTGGTCTCATCACCTTCAATTATTATCTTTGCAGAGGCTGAATTCAAGTGTCTATTTTAGCTGAGATGTGAATTTTGTGGTCAATACATTCTGGGGTTCAGGATCCACATTTTCTGTGGAACACTCCTGACACATAACTATGTATTTTTAGGTGGCAAAAGGTTTTAATTGTTCACATTGGATTGGGAGCAAGGAAATCCTCAATGGAAGAACTCTGCTCATTTTTCCTTGTGTCCCTAAACTTTGGCATCCTACCATTTTTTCTAGGGTAGGTGGAGGGCATATTAGTATGAAGGGGAAATGAAGAAAGCAAAGAATTATGGTGGCATAAGCTACTACTTTCAATGAAATGATAACCAGTAGGATGTTAGACTAGAACCTTTGTAAACTGGCAACTGAGCAGAAAGGTGAGCAGACTGCATGCATGTCCTCAGTTTGCATATTAAGTTGCCTAAATTTATACATTGAACTTACAAGACCCTGACTTAAGGAGTAGTACATGTAAAGCAAAATAAATTACTGAAATTATCTATTGTAATTGCATAAAAATCCAGTAGTGACACGTTGAACCACTACCAAATAAGTGCATACTAGGCTCTGTGCTAGATGCTAACGTATTTTAAAAAAAAAAAAAAGGAAGACAGACACAGTCCCTGTCTTCAATGACTTTTTAGTCTAATTTGGGAGATGACAAGTACACAAATAATTATATAAAATAGGACTATTGCATAGGAGGGATAAAGACATAAAAACAGATCAAATATTTTATCAATTTGCTTTTCCCATCTTGGAACAGGAAACATGGAAACCAAGACAGAAACTTTCTTCTCTCTCAGTCTCCCCATATTTTCCTCTATGATTTATACTCACCCACATACTTTGAAGATTACAATCATTTGCCCATGTTCACAGTCATGCCTTTCTTTATAGACTGACCTATGCTCCTTCTTGTGTTACCCCCAGGGACATTGGGACCAACAACATAATTGGCAACACCAAAGAACAGCTTCCTTTCCCTCTGCCCCTTACAATGAAGAGGACTTCAGAAGCAGGGGACAGAGGGATCTGGAAGTTCAGTTTTTGTCCTGCCTGCAAGGGCTGCAATAGTTTTTTAAAGCTGAAGAACTCCTAGGAAGAACTATGAATTGCCTTTAGCAGTCCATACCATGCTAATTGTATGACAGTGAAGTTTTGAGGAAGCAGAAAGACAACCCCTACTGTACCCCCCTCCCTTCCTGAGGTAAAAAATTTTAGGTTGTATGTTCCCAGTAATGCCCTTGGGGTGGAAGGCTGGCTTATTAGGGACATATGCGCTCATGAACATACAGTACTGACATGGGTTGTCCTTAGAAATAGAGGAGATAATCCCATTTTTCTGCAGTCCTAACAATGGCAGTCCTCCCTCAAAGCTTTCAGTGCCCTTGTGAAAAAAAAAAAGAGAAAGGATTTATGATCACTATGAACCAATGTTTAGAGAGAGTACAAGGGAATGGATGAAAAGACGAAGGATGGTTGTGTTTGTGTAGTGGCATAGAGTGGGGATGGGCAGTCAATTGAGAGGGCCCACAGTCACTCATATCTTATGTTTCTTTGTAGGCTCTGAGTCAGACCTTGAAGCTACTATACCTGCTAAGGTGGAAGTACATATTCCCCTGAGCCCTCAGTTGACTGGTCTGGTACTGCCTGTAACTCATGGCTGACCTGGACCAAGAGACCTTCTGTCACTCCAGTGCCATTTAGCAAGAAGGCTGGTGATAAAAGCATTGTGGGAAAGACCACTGGTGAAGTGACCCATCACGGAGCTAAGAAGGCTGAAATCTGGGCATGCCATTCCAACTGTCTGTCCTTCCTGGGTCCCCAGGGGGCACTGGACTAGGATGGCTGATGGGCTTATGACAAGAGGTGCCCCAGTCATCCCCTTCTGGCCCCATGGAGTCCTCCCCTATCCCTCAGCCATCAGGGAACTCCTCTACTTTGGGTTTGCTCCCTCTACCCCAGGGCCCCCCAAGGGTCAACGGTAGCCCAGAGACAGGGCATCGGGATGTGGCCTCGGAGTCTGTGGCCCTCTTCTTCATGCTCCTGTTGGATCTGACAGCTGTGGCAGGTAATGCAGCTGTGATGACAGTCATTGCCAAGACACCTGCCCTCCGCAAATTTGTCTTTGTTTTCCACCTCTGCCTGGTGGACCTGCTGGCTGCCCTGACCCTCATGCCATTGGCCATGCTCTCCAGCTCAGCTCTCTTTGACCATGCCCTCTTTGGGGAGACCGCCTGCCGCCTCTACCTATTCCTGAGTGTCTGTTTCGTCAGCTTGGCCATCCTTTCGGTCTCTGCCATCAATGTGGAGCGCTACTACTACGTAGTGCACCCCATGCGCTATGAGGTGCGCATGACCCTAGGTCTGGTGGCTTCCGTGTTGGTGTGTGTGTGGGTGAAAGCAGTAGCCATGGCCTCTGTGCCAGTGTTGGGGAGGGCCTCACCAGAGCGTGGGCCCCCTGACTTCCCTCCTGGCTGCTCCCTCCAGTGGAGCCACAGTGCCTATTGCCAACTCTTTGTGGTGGTCTTTGCTGTGCTTTATTTTCTGCTGCCCCTGCTGCTCATTCTAGTGGTCTACTGCAGTATGTTCCGTGTGGCCCGGGTGGCTGCCATGCAGCATGGGCCCTTGCCAACATGGATGGAGACTCCACGCCGGCGATCTGAGTCACTCAGCAGCCGTTCTACTATGGTGACCAGCTCAGGGCCCCCGCGGACCACCCCTCATAGGACGTTTGGTGGGGGGAAGGCAGCTGTGGTCCTGCTGGCTGTTGGGGGCCAGTTCCTACTTTGCTGGCTACCCTATTTCTCCTTCCATCTTTATGTTGCTCTGAGTGCCCAGCCCCTTCCTACACAGCAGGTAGAAAGTGTGGTGACCTGGATTGGCTACTTCTGTTTCACTTCCAATCCTTTCTTCTATGGCTGCCTCAATCGACAGATCAGGGGGGAGCTCAGCAAGCAGTTTGTTTGCTTCTTCAAGCCGTCCCCAGAGGAAGAGTTGAGGCTGCCAAGCCGGGAGGGCTCCATAGAGGAGAACTTCCTGCAGTTCCTTCAGGGGACTGGTGCCACTGAGCCCTGGGCTCCTCAAACCCCAATCAGTCCAAAGCAGGAACCACCAGCTGTGGACTTCCGAATCCCAGGCCAGATTGCCGAAGAGACTTCTGAGTTCTTGGAGCAGCAGCTTCCTAGTGACATCACTGTGTCAGATGGCTACCTCCATCCGACTCTCTCACCCCAGCCTGAACCATGATGCACTCCAGAGCACCTGGAGGGAGATGGGGCTGGGGGTAGGGGATGAGAGCAAGGACTGCTTTGCTGGATATTCTTTTAGCCAGCTGTGGCCAGTAAGGGGGTCCTGGACATGGCTTATGCCTACAGCTTTGTGGAGCAGAGAGGACATAGAGCTAAGAGAGGGCAGTCTTCGGCTTCAGTGTGAATAAGCTAGGGATCTCTAAAGGAAGGTGCTTAGGTGTGGTTATAGTGTGTGAAAAGAGGAGACATAAAGGGAAAACCCCTCTGTTAGTGAATTCCCCTTTCTGCCTTAGGACTGGGGAAACTCGAGCATTCAGGCTTGAAGGGTATGTTATAGTATACATACCAGATGACTTCCAGAGTTACTCTGGGCTCAGCTGAGGTATTTCATTTTTAGTGGCATTTTCTAGAGCAAGAACTGTACCAAGGGAGGGAAAGAATGGCCCCTGGCCTCCTTTCATTTCCATATTAAGTCAAAAACAATTGTAACTATGTGTTCCTGTTTCAGTTTTTAACTTCTTTTAGCTTAATATCTAAGACTTTCCCCTTCAGAGGACTAGCTGGAGCTATCCCCTCCAAGACTAAATCTAGCTGAGCCAAGTTGGCTGGGAGTAGGAGGGAGTAAGGAGTAGAACACAGGGAAAAGTGGATCCTAGACCCCATTCTTAGGTTTGTAAGGAAGGTACTGAAGGAGACAGGAAAAACCTAAACCTCCTGAATAAAAGAGGCTCCCAAACAGGACAGATACTCTCCCCCGGTCCTGTCTGCTTCCTCCTAATCCCTTGGCTCCCTTCTCTTCTATCCCACCAAAACAACCATTTTGTTGTCCCTGTCTTCCTTTTACCAAGAGGGCAGAAAGCTTGGGTGTTTATCCAACTAAAAGAACACAGCATGGCCTTAACCCTTAACTTTTAGGTGGGGAGACTGGGAATCCGATGAGTTAGAAGGTAGGGGTATTGGGAGGCTGGGAACGAGATACTGGAGCAAATGGGGACAAATATTTGAGGGAATAATTGCAGGGATAGTAGCCAGGTGGTCACCCTGACCAGTAACATTGATGATCTTTCCCTTCTAGGACGGGCCTCTCTGATCTCCCTCCTCATGGCAGTGACCCACCTCCAGCCCCCTGGACAATCTGGTACCAGAGACAAAGGTGGGGCATGGGGAGAATGGGGTTTCCAGACATTGGCATTGCCAGTTAGTTCTCTACTCCTGCCCATCAATCTCAGAACCATCTTCAGTGACAAAGAATTAAGTGTCTCTCCTACCAAGAGCTCTGGGCAGGGGAAGGACACGGGGCTCAGATGTTAACCAACTGGGACTTGAATAATAGTGTGTTTGGTGGTCTCTACTGGTGGCCGGAGCATGGACCTGCCAAATCTTAGAAGGAGGGATAACAAGTGTAAGCAGGAAAAACTATCTATAGCCTCCTGTGCACTCCATTCTTCCTGGTTTAACTGGTGGATGGGGTGAGCCCACAGGATCCCAACATGGTCACAGGGCCCTGTCAGGTCTAGAGGGTGGCCAGTACTGACCAAATTTCTGGCTCATTCAGCAAAATGGGAAAATGAGCTCATTCTTACCTTTGAGCAGCCAATAAATGTTTTCTTTTAAAAAATTTATGTTGCAACCACCAATGATTCCATCAATTCAATATAACGCATACCTATTGAATACCCACAGAGTATTTCTGGGCAGGGGGTATAGCTTGTGTTAATTCCTGCCCCTAAGAAATTGAAGTTCAATTTAATCTATCAGTCAGCAAGCAGTTTTACTCACAAATTAGGTAGCAGTATAGAAAGCATTTGGGAGACATATTAATGAACAGATAAAGTCCTTGCCCTCAAGGTGCTGAATGACCCAAATTTTTTTTAAAGGATAACTACATCAGAGAACGCTGTATACATGATATTTCAACCAAGCATTTGTTAGTCTCAAGCTTTTCTTGTGGAGAAGATAGAGCTATGTGGGCTAAATGAGACTGTAGCTAGGTAGATTCAGACTTGATTGAATGATCATATGCAAAGATTAACCAATCACTCCATGCCAAATTAGAGGGAGATTTCTAGTGGAGTGCCCAAGGAAACTGTCCTGGGCCCTATACTGTTCAACATCTCTGTCAATTACTTGAATGAATCCACAGAAGTTATGCTTGTCAAATTTTCATGATATAAAGCTAAGAATGGCTAACAAGCTGAATGATGGTTAGGATCCAAACCATTTCAACAGGCTAGAACAATGGGCCAAACTTAAGATAAAATCAAATAGAGATAAATGCAAAGTTTTACAGTCAGGTTAAAAAAAAACGATTTTTTAATGAGTATTGGCTAGGCAACAGTCTACGTGAAGAAGTTCTGGGGGGGTTTGTTGACTGCATGCTCAATATCAGTCAATAGTGTAACATGGAGGCAAAAGAACTAAAGCTGTTCATAGTGTTATAGATCAAAGGTGGTGAAATGGCTGGAGAACATGCCACAAGATTCAGATGAAGTAAATGAGGGCCTTTACTCGGGAGAGAAAATGGGCTGGGGAGGGTATATCTGGAGGGCTGTGATTAACTTGTTCTGCTTGGCCCCAGAAGGCAGCATCAGGAACAAGGAGTAGAAGTTTCAGGGAAGATTTGGACTGAATGTTAGAAAAAACTTTCTAAATGATTGGTGCTGTCTAAAAGGTGCATGTCCTGCCTCCCAGCGTGGTGGGTTCCCCCTTCACCAGACATTCAAGCAGAGGCTAAATGACCACTTGTCAGGAATGGCCTGGATTCTTTTATCCAGAATTCTGAGCTTACAGATCCCTTAAGGCATTCACATAAGGAGCTCTAAGGGGTTGTGGGTAAAGGTAAATGTGCAAAAGACAGGCAGGGCAGAAAAGAAATCTGGGGGATGACTCCCCCAGAAAGTAGCAGGCCCTCCAGGCTATTTATTAAGCACTTACTCCATGTCTAGCCTCTTCCACTCAGAAGAAGGCAGAGCCAGTGAGGGAGGTAGTCCATGTTTTGGAAAACAGAGGTCCATTGCCCTTTCTTCCCTCCTATGTCAAGAATGGTGATACCCTTCCTACTCAATGTGGAACAATTGCAGCTTCTACAGCAGCTAGCTTGCAGCTCCCACAAAGAGCCAGCAGGTGGCACTGTAAGACACAGAAATAGGAAGAGTGGCCACCGCCCTTGCCCCCAATGCCTGTCAGCCATTTTGTTAACTAATTTTGCCCACTCATTTGGGCTATTTCACCCAACCTTTGGCTTTCACATTTACCAGGAACTTATCAAGTGTGACGGTTTCTCTAATCTTTCAGTGCTAAGAAACCTCAAGTTTTCTTACACCACAGTCCCAATGGTGTGGGAAGGCAGTGTAGTTTTGTAAAAACAACACTAGACTAGGTTCAGCACTTGGGTTCTAGTCTAGGCTCTGCCATTTATTAGTCATGTGACCTCAGGTTATTTCTTTAATTGCTCCAAACCTCAGTATTTTCATCTGCAAAAAATGGAGATGATAATACCTACCCTATCTTACAGATTTATTATGAGTCAAAAGTGACAAAGTATATGAAAATGCTTTGTAAACTAAAAAGACCAATATGAGGCATTATTATTGGTGCTATAAGAAAAGCACATAGGATCAAAGATCGAGGGCTGAAAGGGACCTCAGAGACCTTCTAGCCCAGTTCTCTCGTTTTCTTACAGTTGAAGAAAATGAAGCTCAGAGATTTCTCCGAGGTCACACAAGTAGCAACTGCATATGAACCCAGGTCCTCTGATTCTAGGGCCAGGGCTCTTTCCAGTGGACACGTATCACACTGCCAGGGAAGCATGGATGAGTTCGCTATTTAGCTTGTCCCTGTCTGCGTGGACCATGAAGGAAATTGAAGACCAGTTTATTGTCTTGAGATGCCCTCTCAGCTGTCCTGCCGTGTCTCAGTGCCTTGCATATAGTATGTGCTTAATAAATGTCAATATTGTTATATTTTCCTGTCACCAACATGATCAATTAATGAAGAGGGATTGTTTTCATCCTATATTCTGAAAGCGATTCTTGCCTCAATCCCTCAACATCTCATCCCAATAGCTTGCCAAAGAAGTGACCAAGAAGGGCAACTCTTACTGCATGACTTCTTTCCTACTTCCACAGTGTTGTAGTTACACTCAACCAAAAATGACAACTCTCCAACCAATGCAAATGCCTTATGATCAGGTCTCTTTTTTTTTATTTATCTACCTGGACCAGCCCTTCCCAGCATTTAGGAATGAAAGGAAATTTGTTTGAATGTGGAGAAGTTGGTAGAATTGTCTTTGCTGGGTTACAATTAGAGTAAACAAGGCCATGTCTCTTTGGCTGTCCTACAATATTTCTGAAGGAATCAATCTTCTGTGTTAGCCAACGTGGTTAATATCTTTAAATTTACAATATTGTTGGGGAATTGAAATTGATATGACTTAACAAGTAATGCGCTGCTAACAGCAAAATAAATGGATCATAGTCATAATGGATTGTACTGCCCTGAAGTATTTGGGTATCCATGAAAGTACCCTTTTATTTTCATCCTCTGGGTCAGGGGTGGGGAACCTGTGGCCTCGAGTCCACATGCAGCCTTCTAGGTCCTGGGGTGCAGCCTTTTGACTGAATCCAAGTTTTACAGAAAAAATCCTTTTATTATGGGGATTTGTTCTGTGAAGTTTGGATTCAGTAAAAGGGCTGCATTTGAGGACCTAGAGGTCCACATGTGGCCTCAAGACCACAGGTTCCCCACTCCTTCAGCCTGGACTATTTCAGAAACAGGTGTGTAGGGTCTCTTTCCAACATTCTGCCAGTACACCAGAAGTTTGTAGCATTAACTGCACTACAAGTAATATGACTGTGTTAATGAAGTATAGAACTTTAGCATAGAGGCTATCATATTACTTCACTGGAATTGCTCATAGTACAAAGCACACAAGTTCAATAAATGAGGATGGTAAGATAGCATCCAGTAACAAAAATAGCACTGGACTTGAGGTCCAAAGGCTACTGAGTTCTGGTGCTGCCTGTCACTAATGAGAAGTGTGAACTGGGGCAAGATGTGAGCTAAGGGGCAGGGACTTGGACTTAGCCCCCACTCTGGTGATCTGACGGACTTCCAAAGCAGTCCCTCCGACTGGGCAAAGCACCAGGCTCCTCACTGGCTGAGGGAAAGAAAGATTTTATGGCAGAGCTGAGTCAGGCTTGGAATGATGTATGGTATAATGGCAAGAACCCCTAGACATGTGACCTTGGGCAAGTAAGGATAATAAGAACTATTATCTGTAACATAGTGCGTTAAGGTTTGCAAAACACTTTACATGTCTTATAATAACTGCTATTTATATGGTGCTTTATATATACATACATGCTTTCATCTGATCCTCCTAAGAACCCTATGAGGATCATTATTCTCATTTTACAGATGAGTACACTGAGGCTCAGGTGAAGCGACTTGCTCATGGTCACAGAATCTGGTAAAGTGAAAGGAGCGCTGGATGTAGGCTCAGAGGACCAAGCTTCAAACCCCACATCTGCTGCTTGCTTATCTGTGTGTCCCTGAGCAAGTTAATTCACCTCTCAGTTTCCTCACCCTTAAAATGAGGGATTTGAACTCAAATGTGTCTTCCAGTTCTCGGTCCATGAGTGTTGTCGGAGATGGGTTTGCAAAGGTAGAGTGACTTTCCCGAAGTCACAACGCCAGGATTTGAATCCAGGGTCTCTGACTTCAAATCCAGCCTTGTTTCTACACGAACTTACCTCTCTGGTTCTCACTCATAAAACAAGAGGCTGGGAATAGACGGTCCCTAAGATGCTTTCCGGTTCGGACACTCAGGGATGCGCTGACAGGTAAGTGGCCAGACAAACGGTTTTTCCCCAGGGGAGGAATGAATGGGTAGAGGACAGTTTTGGTCTTTTTGCTGTGTAGGAGTCAAAGGCCCTGGGTTCGAGTCCCAGCTCTGCTTGGGGAAGTGACTTAACCTCTGCGGGCCTCGGTTTGCTCGTCGGTAAAGCGAGGGAATGGAAGGCCAGGCTCCGAGAAGACGCTCAGCCACACCGGCGGACGGGGAGTCCCCGGTTCTTTCACGTTTCCCTGTCTCGGGCGGCCTGGCTGAGCGGACGACGCCCGAAGAGCTTGGGGTTCGCTACCGTGCTCCCCCTCAGGAGACCCCGACAGGTTTGGGCGAGCCGCTCCCCTCCCCGGCCACCGGCCCGCATGTCCCTCCCTTGCCTCCCTCCGCGAGCCCAGTTCGAACGCTAACGGCCGCGGGGCGTCGCCGGAAGTGTCGTCACCACAGGATATCCGGTTCCCCGGGAGCTACGGAAGGGGAAGGACGGGGCCTCCGCCCAGCAGGAGCAACCGCCGCGGCAGCCCCCGCGAGAGCAGCCGCCGGAGCCGGTGCCGAGCCTCCGCGCTTTGTGAGTGAGCCCGGGCCCGGTCCCCTCTCCCACCGCCGCCATGGGGTGCACGCTGAGCGCCGAGGATAAGGCGGCGGTGGAGCGGAGCAAGATGATCGACCGCAATTTGCGGGAGGACGGCGAGAAGGCGGCCAAGGAGGTGAAACTGCTGCTGCTCGGTGAGGAGGCTCCGCGGGGGGCCGGGCTGGGAGGGGGGGGACGGACACGGGACTGTGGGCGTGTGTGTGCGTGTGTGCGTGAGTGTGTGAGTGTGCGTGTGTGTGTGTATACACCGGGGAGGGCGTGGCCGGGGCGTGCGGATATCTGTCGGTGTATGTGGGGGGGGGGGACGCCCGGGAGGGCGTGACTGGGGTTGAAGGAGAAAAATTCCGGCTGTGGGGCCGGGCCCGAAGTTAGCCCTGAGCCTGGGGGCAAGGAGTAGCCTGGGGTTGGGGAGCTGGAGACCAAGATGGGGCCTCCAAGGTGAGAGAGGAGAGCGGAGGGGGTGAGATGGGCCAGGTGAGGGGGCTAGCTGGGACAGTGGCCCCTGAGGTCCGTGTTCGGATGTCAGGAGCTCCTGACAAGGGCTAAGGTGTACGCGGGGCTTTGGACTGTCCCACCAGGGCAGCCTCGTGAATAATAATAGTGGTTAACAGTAGCTGGCATCTAAGTTTTGCTAGCGCCTTCCTTCTGTTGATGGTCTCCAAGGTTCTTGCATACTGTTTCCTCCATCAGCTCCCTGAGAGCAGCAACACTATTTTTTGCCTTTTTATTTTTTTGTATCCCCAGCACTTAGCACAGTGTCTGTCGCCTAGTAGGAGCTGGATATATGCTTTTTGATTGACTGCTCTAAAATTTGCAAAATACTTTACAGACATATAAGGGATGCTCTGACAGGACAGAAGAAAAGTTTTTTGGGTTTTTTTTTTTTATCTCCTCTGGGGACCAAAAGGTAAAGGAGGGTTGTGGTCTTTTTGTTGTGTGTGGCCAAAAAAAATCCCATTTGAGCTTCACCACAACCTTGTGAGGTGGGTACTATCTACCTTTTGCAGAGGAGGAAACAAGTCCAAGAAAGTTAAGTAACTTGCTTGTGATCATTTAGCTAGTGTTAGAGGTAGGAGTTAGATTTAAACTCAACTCATTTCCGACTTCAAGTGCAGCTCTCTTTCTCTCCCTTGCTTAGTGGTGTAGAAAATAGGCATTTGGGATAGTTAGCAAGATGGAGAGGAATATAAGAAAAACAGAGATAAGTATCTGCTTGGGAATGAAAGATTAATACCAGCTTGGGTAAATGGTAAGACTCTCTGCAGCTTGGAGGCAGTGTCTTGGTATAAGACTGCTTCTGTGTCTGATACAGTTGCTGCCGAAGTATCAGTAGTCTAACTTTCCGTCAAGCATATTCTTTTTTTTTTTTCCCTTTTTGTATTATAGATGGGAAGATAGCTGAGTAAGCTTCAAGGAGTGGTTGGGGTTGATTATGAGATTGTGAAGAGAAAAAATAGTTTTCCTGTAAAAGTGGTTTGAACTGAAGGAAAGGGATGATTTACATAAATCAGCCATCTAAGCTGATATAAACTTTGAAGTAAACTATAAAGTGATGGATTTTTTTTTCTTTAAAGAGTGACAGACTTTTAGAAGACTATTTCTTTTATCTTTTCTGATAACCTTAAAATGGCCTCACATCAGTGATCCTGATACCTGAAATTTGATTTTAGTGATATTTCTTTGAAGTCAGATATATTTTTCACTCAGCAAGATTGTCTTTGAATTTTTGAAGTGTTTTGGTATCAAAAATTCTAAAAATCATCCAGAGTATATTGGCATTTAGGGTTCTAGTAAATCAGATCACATTAATGAAGGTTTTGAAATTTAATTACTCCTAACAATGGAATAATCTCTTCAAGGGAAATTACATAAATCTCATATGTTGTAAAATAACTTTAGAGAACTCAGTATAGGTCATAGCCATAGTTGTATGAGACCTTCAAGGATTTGCCAGATAGCCCAACTGTCTTATTTTCATGGTCTGAATAATTTTAAGGTTACAGATGAAACCTAGGGTATACTACTCCACATTCTGGATTTACATAATTGGATTCAATCTGGAGGTTCTCATAAATCACCTTTTGGTTCACATACTCATTCTGAGATTCTCTTGGGAACCTCAGAATTTGACTATTTTTCTCTCGCTACTCAGCTTCGTCCCCAGGAGTTATATCAGAATATAGCTCGTGTTACGGTCTCTATACGTGTGAATAAAAGTGCCGTCAACTCCGACGCAATTACTAAAGAAAACAATATATATTAAATATAGAACAGCCTTTATTTTGTCCTCCAGAAAAACTTAAAAAACACAAAAGATTTCTAGAAATCCACACACATACAAGATACATTCCTCCTTTTCTTTGGTGAATCCTGTCTTCCTGTAGGGTTTCTAATCATAACCCTATGGTAAACACCCTGGAAAAAGACTTATTTATCCCTTTGTTCCCAGGGAACTTTTACAGATTTCCTGACTTGGAATGCTACCCTAGCCCCAAAAGAGAATATTATACTTGAGGTTACCCTTCAAGCCAGCCCCTGCCTAGAATAGTAGCATATGACTTTAATCTCTGCTACTGGGGAGGCTATAGCTGGTGGATCACTTGAGCTCAGGAGTCCTGACCTGCAGTAGGGCTAAAACTATTCTGTTGTTTGCAAGAAGTCTGGCATCAATATGGTGTATCCCAGGGAGGGCAGTGGGATGGAGCTAGGGATGTGGGGAAGAACTGACCCCCCACTGGTAACAGAGCAGGTCAAACTTCTTGTGCCTGTCCATAGTGGAGTTGGACCCATTGATGGTCTCGGCCCAGTCATGCCTTCCCTAACTTCCACCTTTTTCCCTCCTCCCTCAAAAAAAAAAGAAAAGAAAGTCAAATCGAATCAAATCAACCCTCTTTCCCATTGCACTTGCTCAGTAGTAGAGGAAAAGGTGTAAGTTGCTCTATCACATCATAGCCCTATCTCTTGCTGTTCTGGTAGTTGCTAGGGCCACATGGTTGCTACTCTTCTTTTCCAAGAGTCTTGGTTCAGGAACTCCAGTGGAAATCCTCTTCTGCGCTCCAGAAGGCTAGGTCAAGGAGTTTTTGTTGTTTTACTGTTGCTTTGGCTATTGCCATCTCTTTTGCCATGAGGTTCATGTGGTTCCTCTTAATGCATCTGCTATCCCTGGGATGGACTTCATGAATAAACTTTTTCCCCAGGGACTCAAGTTCATTCCTTATTCCCTGTCCTGGCTCAGTTTTATCTCCCATTATAGATCCGTTTGCTTCTTTTTATAAGCCTATCTCTTAGACTGTGTGTGGATCAGATCTACGAATTTATGTAAGCCCTAATCCAGTTAAAACATATCTTTCCCTCTTCCCCATTCCATCATGCAGTTATTTAGTCTCAATGAAGTATTAACGGTTACCCAGACCAAATGTAAAAACCTGTCTGAAGTGAGGTGTCTGTGGGGAATGTTCACATCTATTAAAATCTCAAGACTTTATCCTTTAACATTGTTGTATTGTCTAAATTTACTCTTGTTCTCACCTTCTACACTGTTTTGGTAAAAGCTTTTTTCAAATGTAGTGCTAAAAATAATTATTGGATCCTAATCTTAAAGTTTGACTATATAAATCTCAGATTTAATCCTAAAACTATTTTTTAAGTATTCCTCACTCCCATTCGCCCCCCCTCTTTTTTTAAACAACTGTTTGGTAGTAAACTATATAGTTTAACATTACCAGCTGATGTTGGACATTAACCTCACAGTCTAATTTTTAGTGTTTATAGATCCCCATTTGAGATGTAAGCAATTTAATTCACCAGTCTAATCATCGAATCCTAGAAACTGGACCTCAGTTCAATTCTTACTGAAGTCATGAATCCCTCTATAACATGCCTGATGATGATGATGATGATGATAGTAGTAATAATTGACTAATATAACATTTTAAAGTAGAGTGTTTTACATATATTATCTCATTTGAGCCTCCTAAAACCCTTCTGAGGGAAGCTCTACTGTTACATACAACTACTATTATCTCTATTTTACAGATCAGAAAATGAGGCTGAGAAAGGTTAAAAGAACTGCCCATGGCTATGCAGTTAGTACTGGACATAAACTTGGAACTCAGGTCTTGACAAGAGGGCCAGTGTTCTGTCTACTATGCCATGCTACCTTTCCACCACCTCTGCTGGAAGATTTCTAGTGATAGAACACTAAATGTGCCCTAAGGAAGTCCATTCCAGTTTTTTTAGTGTCTGTAATTATTAGGATATTTTTCCTTACGTTGAACTGAAATCTTCCTTCTAACTTCTGCTCATTGTTCCTAATTCTGCCTTTGGGGGCCTAGCAGAACAAATATAATTCTTAAACATGGCAGTCTTTTAGATGTTTGGAGATTGTTATTTTGTTACTCTAAATCTTTTTTTTTCTTTAGGTTGAACATTTCTATTTCCTACAACTGATTCTCATTGAGTCCCCTAATCATCCTGGTCACCCTACTCTAAAACAGCACCCTAGACTTGGTCTGATCAATTTTAACTTTGTGGGCTACCATAACACACTACTAACTTATATTAAGCCCATTAAATCTCTACATATTTTTTGCATACGTTATGTAATGTTATGTTCTCATAACATCTCCTTCCCTTTCTCTACTTGTTTGGTTGTTTTTTGTTTTTGTTTTTTTTTAATTAACCCAGGTGTTGGAGTTTACATTTATCTGTATTATATTTCATATTATTGGCTCCACCCCAGCATTTGAACCTGTCAAATTCTTTTTGAATCCTAATTTAGCCATGCAGTATCCCAGTTTTGTATCTTCTGCACATTTTATAAGCCTTATATATACCTTCATTTAGAGTGGTGATTAAGAAAATATTGAATAAAACAGGTCCCAGAACAAATCCTGTGACCCTCCATGTTAACATTGACCCTACACTTTTCCATTTTATCAGGAAGAATAACAATAAAAACTGTTCGCGTTATTGAAGTCTACATGTTTTGTAGCTACATCATTCCTCTAATTCATTAATCTGGTATCACTGTTAAAAAAAAGAAATTAGGTTAGGCTGGCTTGACTTGTTCTTAATAAATAAATAAATGAACAAATAAATAAATAAACGAATAAATTAATTAATTAATTAATTA